TTCCGCACTCACCCACCCTCACCTCCCAGAAAACCTTCCACTCTCCCTGCCATCGAATCAATGCTGACTCACAGAGCCTTATTCAGGAAAACAGAAACGCGAATCCTCATAAAGGGAAAAGAGACCAAAAGAGAAAGTTACTTTTGATGGTAGAAGAAACAAAATGGAAAGACGGCGGCGGGAGGGCGGGGTATATACATGCAACACATTGGAGAGACCCTGGTCATCGCCTTTGAGTCCCTGCCATTGAGGCGACCAACCCTTCAGACAGAGTGGAACTGCCCCTGAGGGTTTCCAAGACTAATTCTTTACAGGAGTGGAAAGCCTCATCTTTCTCCTGAATTGTCTGACAGGGGTTGGGAAACATTTTCTGGAACAGAAAGTCAATATTTGAGGCTTGAGGGCCGTTTGATCCCTGTCACAAGGACCCACGTTGGCCCGTTTAGGGCTACAGCAGTCCTGGACAGCATGGAGGAGGAGGGGCAAGGTGGTGTCCCACGAAAGCTTTCTGGATGCTGAAATCTGGATTTCAGGCAATTTTAACAAATGGTGAAATATCCTTCTTTTGCCCCCTCCCCCACCATTTAAACATATAAAACAACAACTATTATTCTTAGTTTTCAAGTCATCAAGAGGAACAAGGGCTGAATGTGGCCTGGGGACTCGGGTCTTTAACTGACAAAGACTTCCAGATAGCGGGTACGAAAAGGCAAACGAAAGCAAAGGGTATGAACTCGGCAGCAGATGTGGGACGAGAGTATTCCTGTCCCCTGAGCACAGCACATGACAAAGAGAAGCAGGTGACACACATTCCTGAAGGCTTTCTAGGAGAGAGTCAACCTGTCCTGTGACTATGGGCCACCAGCCTCCACCTCCAAACGCAGCCAACAGCCACTCCAAGATGGATTAAAACGAGTCTGTGAGAGGCGGGCGGTGTCCCACGTGGTTTACTTACAGACACACAGAACGGGCTATCTGTTCACTTCCCTCCTCCAGATCACAAAATTAGTTTCCCTCAGGATCACACAATGAGACTACTTCACCATCAAAGGCTTTGCACCAATCAACCTCGAGCCAGCTGTGCTTCCAATAACCTCTTCTTTCGCCTTCTGGTTTCCTTAAGGAGTGCTTCCACTCCATCCATGTCTCCCTCTTGGGAGGGGGTCCCCGCTTCACACTAAAGTAGCTGCTGCTAGGAAGGAACTCTGTAGATGCAACTAAGATCCCAAATCTGACGATCTGAAGAAAAGGAGATTCTGATCCATGTATCCCCTGTTCACGGTGACCCTATAAAACAGGAGAACTGCTGCCTCTTCAGAAGCAGGTCGCCCCCTTTCTCCTGTGAGATGACCGATGAATGGATTTGAACCACCAACCTTCCAGTCAGGACAGAGCATGGAATCACTGCCCCAGGTGGCCTCCTTTCACATGACCTGCCTCGTGTTTCTCTGATGGGGGGAGGGGGGCTGTCAGAGAGTCAGAGACAAACCTTGTCACTTTGCCGCATCTACTGCCAGAATGAAGCCCATTCTCAGCAACCAGACTGTCGGCACTCCAGAGAGTGCGGACATTAGTTACCCTGAAGGGGCGCACAGTGATTGCTCCGTTTCTCAAGCCCAGAAAGAAGAGCTAATTCTGGAAGGAAATGACATTGAGCTTGTATCCAATTCGGCTGCGTTAATTCCACAAGTCACTCCAGTTAAAAAAACAGGATATCTGAACATCGTTGGATGTTTCTGGAAAAGGAACTGCAGGCTGATGAGTAAGATTGAAGAGGTGTCCGGCTACCTCTAGACTGGTCTGTGATACTTAGATGGCAGGAAAGTTTCTTTCATGAAAAAGAAAAGAAATCAGACAGAAAGACAAGGTGGATTCCCCTCGCCATTGCTGGCTGGGAGATGGAGGGGGGCCTTATGGCAAAGAATGTGGGTGACCTGTAGAAGCTGAGCGTGAGCTTCAACTGACAAGCTGCAAGACAATGGTTCTATAACCCAAACCCGCTGCCAACGAGCTGATTCTGACTCACAGTGTTCCTGTAGGGAACAGCAGACTGCCCCTTTGGATGCCCAAGACTGTACATCTTTATGGATTTAGGAGCATCTGGTGGGTTTGAACCGCTGACCTTGTGGTCCACAGCTCCCTGCTTAGCCCTCTGTGCCACCACCGCACCTTACAGTCACAGAGGAAAAGCATTCGGCCAATA